ATACCTATGTTCTCTAATAGCAGTAACATCTTAGCAAGGGTGATTTTAGAGGTGTGCCAGAAGGCTATGACCAAGACACAGTAAAATCAAGCATGCATTTAAAAAATAATTATATATTATAGGTCCCACCTCCCAACCGTCAGTTAGAAGGATCACAAGTGATAGAATTACTAGTATTTGCAAGGTACATATTTGTAATATCACTTTTTTTTTCCTCCATTGTACTTCAGCAAAAATAAGATTTCCAAGACTTAGGGAAAAGGGGGAATAGGTATTTATAATACCATGGGTCAACTCTCAGTACAAAAATGTAAATAAAGTTGAAAAATTACAAAAGTCTTAACAAAGAAAAGAAGCCAAAATAGAAAACATGCAGCTCTAAAGACAAATGAAAGAGCAAACTGCGAATCCCGGCCTTCACCTTGGTGTCGGAAGGACGGGACGATCAGCCTCACCGGCTGGCTCAACGACAGGAGCCCCCGATTTCCTGCATCGAGAGCACCTGCCCTGCTACCTCCCCGAAAGCTCCCCTGTCCCCCAGGCTTCAGGGGACGTTAGCTAGCCAAGGTCTGTTCAGCCCTCTTCAGAATGAATCTATTAAATCCCTAGACAGAGTGTAGAGAATCAGGATAAAGGTTCCATTAATGTTCTCTTATCAATGGGAAAGGCAGCAGCTGCTGATGTTTTAAGAAAGATCTTTTGAAAACTTCGTACGAGACGAATCCTTGGAATTCACTGGCCCCCTGTAACAAAGACACTGGAAAGATAGCTAGACACTACCACAAGTTTTCAAAAATGGAAGCCAACTACGTCTAAGTGGGGGTATACAAGCATATCCTACAGAAACCGTTCTGCTTACAGGATGGGATCTTCTCCCTTTATTTCTGCCTTAAGAGCCCCAACCTACAAGTTCTTACCCTTACATAGAAGGCGAAACTTATACAGGGTGGTCTTCCCTTCCTCCTTAAACAACAGATAAACCGTGCCCCGTAACTTCCTACTCTACCTACATGTCTTCTTTCCATTAACAAAACTTTTGATTCGGCCTTGTATCCTGCCAGACAGGTCTGATTTTTAAAAATTCCCCTTGGATCAACCTACACTTGGAAAGAGCAAAGCAAGCCCACCCAAGGTTACTTTAACATGTGGCTGCGTGCAGGGACACTGGCTGCCAAGTCCTCTCAGACCCCCCCATCAACAATCCCCCCAAGAACTCCTCCTGCTGCCCTTCCAGCCGCTACTCCTTCCCTGGCACGCAAGGCCAGGGTATGCACTCTAGGCGGTCTCAGCCAGCCCCTCGGGGCTCCAGGATCCGCATGGAAGGCGAGACTTCCACCAGGAGGCCCCTCCCGCCAGTTTGCCACCCCAAACCTCGCCAGCTGGCTACCTGTTGGCAGTGCTGGTGTTGCTGCTCCCACTGCTGTGTTTCTGTGCCCGGCTCAACCTCCGTGGGGGCTTGGAGTGCTGCAGCCGGGGGCTCGGCATGGAGGGGAACGATGAGGCGTAGCCATGTTCACACTCTACAGAGAGCAAGGGGGGAGAAAGGTGTAAGCGGAATCCAGACACGCCATCCTCCACGGACCCGTGAAGTCGGGGGTGCCTGCAGAAGTCAAGTCAAAAGAAGAAACTCCCAGTGCCCGCCCGGCCCCCGCACCAGACCCCGCGCCTGCAAGGTGGCCTCACGCCCCCTCGCCAGAACTCCTCTCCGCACGCCTCCCTGCCTCCTCACGGCCACCCCGGAGGCGGAGCTCACCACTGCCACCCGCGCGTGCACCTGGCCCGAAACCTCTCGCCGTTCCGAGAACGCGCCTGCAAGCCCCACGGGGTCCGTGCGCTTCGCACCTCGCCAGCACGCTCCCTGCCGACAGCGCGGCCGCCCTCTCCCGCGTCTCCGCGTCTCCACCGCCGAGAAGCCCCCGGCCCCGCGGCCGCTCCGCACCCACCCCCGTTCCCCCCGGCTCGCAGCCCCGGCCTCCCGGACCCCGCGGTCCCCCGGCCCTCCGCCTGCAGCCCAGGCGTCCGCCTCCGCCCCCCTCACCACCCTGCCACCAAACGGTCTCACGCACCTCCCCTCGGGGCAACCCCGCACACGGCGCCTCCTCCCTCGCGTGCACCTCCCCTCACGCGTGCAAGTCGCCTCACACGCGCACCTCCACACACACGCGTGCAACTCGCCTCACGTGCGCACCTCCCCACACAGGCACACACCCCCCCGCGAGCGCGTGCACCGTCCCTCACACGCGCGTGCACCTCCACACACGCACACGCACCTCCCCTCGCATGCGCGCCCTCCCTCACCCGCCGCACCGCACTCCGCGCGCGGGGCAGGAGGGCGCGGGCTCAGGCGGCGGCGCCCCAGCCGTTACCTCGCTCCCGGCGCTCCAAAAACTCGGCCGCCTCCAGCAAGCGCTGCACGTTGATCATCCGCACCCGCTCCATGGGCACCGCGGGTGGCCACCGGGGCCTCTCCACTCCGCCTTCCCCGGCCAACAGGAGGCGCCGCAGGTGGCTACAGTCCCGCGCCGCCCTCGGACATGTGCGGCGGGCCGGCCGGCCAGCCCGGCCGCGGCTCGGCGCGCTCTCCGCCGCCCCCGGCGCCCCCACCGCCCCCGCCGCGCCGCGCCGCGCCGCGCCCGCCGGCAGCCCGCGCGCGGTTTGTTTACCTCTCAGCGCGAGCACGGGGGAGGGGCGGGAGCAGCGCCGTGGCCCGCCCCCTCCCGCCCCTTCCGCTGCCCCCTGGGAAGTGTAGTCCCGCCCCCGCCCTCTGCACGCCCGGAAGCGTAACACGCGCGCCGCTCCGATGCGCCTGCGCCCTGTGGGATTCCGCAGGGGCGCTGGGAGTTGTAGTCTCTCCAGGGCAGAAAGACTAAAGAGTTGCCGAGGCTCCCCGGCTCGTGGGAGGGAAAGATCTGCGCGATCCGTGGTAGGGTCATTTCTCAGCAGCTTCCCGCGGGTGCCTTGGGGCTGGAGTATTTCTGATGCGAAATGCCATTTTCCCGTCCGCTATCTACTACTAGGGTCTCACGAAACTTTGTGCCCCCGTGTCCTCATTTGCACTGGCAGGACACATTGAAACCCTCGAAAAGCCACAGTCGCTGCTCAAAACACGGGAACATTTCGTCAGAGCCAGACAGGGCTTCCAGAAGGCCCTTCTTGCACTTCAGCTCCCACACAAGTAGTTTTCAAAATCTTATTATTTATTTTTAAAATTTTCTTATTTGCATTTTTATTTGAAAGGCAGAGAGACAGAGGGATTTTCCCAGTTGCTGATTCACTCCCCAGATGCCCCCAGCAGCCAGGGCTGAGTCAAGCCCAAGGCAGGATCTCAACCCCGGTCTCCCATATGGATGGCAGGGACCCAGCTGCTTCGGCCATCACCTGCTGCCTCCCGAGATGCACATTAGCATGCGGCTGGCTCAGAAGCAGAGTGGGGACTCCATACGAGACACTCAGTCTGAGATGTGTCTCCCCTCTGCCAAACACCAGCCCCTAAATCTTACTTAAAATTTTTTCTCCTCTCCATAATCCTTCAGTGGTGCTTTTAAACTCCAGAAAAAACTCATTTCCCCCTGTATAAAACAGATATGATTATTATCCTTGACACTGAAGGCCTGCTTTGTGCCAGGCACTGTACTAGAAATACCATGTTCAGTAAGGAGGGAAACAGGGACCCTGCTCCCAAGGAGCACATACATTCAGTAGGGCTCATTGCGAAGATGAAATGAAATAATTCCAGCATTCAGTATACACTAGGCACTCAATAAGGGGAAGCTATACTGCTGATTGTTTCCTCTTACAGTGCCCTGTGTGGACAGGTAACAAAGCAGTGGCTAAAGAAAGCACAGCCTATTAAAAGACTGACTCCAGCTGCTCTGGCCATCACTGTCTTTCCAAGTCCTTCATCTAACAGGCCCCCAAAGCCTAGGCCAGGGTTTCCCAACCTTGGCATCACCAACAAGTTGGGCTAGACCATCCCTTTCTGGACGGGGGTTCAGTTTGTCTATTGTAGGATGCTTAGCAGCATCCCTGGTCTCTGCCTAATAGATGCCAGCAGCACATCACCACCCCTTAAGCGTGACAACCCAAAATGCCTCCAGACACAGCCAGGTGTCTCCTGAGGCATAAAATCATCCCCAGTTGAGAGTAAGTGGTCTAGGGAAGGGATGGACAAGTGGGCCGGAACTGTTGAATGGTTTAGGAGTGAGCTGGGAACCGTGTAAAAGTATCCGTATTTAACTTGCTGGTAGACAAAAAAAAAAAAAAATAATAATAATAGGAAACTCTCAGTAAAGGGAGAATGTCCCTTCCCTGTGGCCACTCCTTTGGCCACTGCCAAAAGCACCTTCTTGGAATAGAAATATCACCCTCTCAGAAATGTGTGTGGGCTTCACATTGCATTTAACTCCCTCTCCCTTGTACCTTTAGTTTTGTTTGTTTGTTTGTTTGTTTGTTTTTGACAGGCAGAGTGGACAGTGAGAGAGAGAGACAGAGAGAAAGGTCTTCCTTTGCTGTTGGTTCATCCTCCAATGGCCGCCGCGGCCAGCGCGCCACGCTGATCCGATGGCAGGAGCCAGGTATTTATCTTGATCTCCCATGGGGTGCAGGGCCCAAGCACTTGGGCCATCCTCCACTGCACTCCCGGGCCACAGCAGAGAGCTGGCCTGGAAGGGGGGCAACCGGGACAGAATCCGGTGCCCTGACTGGGACTAGAACCCGGTGTGCCGGCGCCACTAGGTGGAGGATTAGCCTAGTGAGCTGCGGCGCCGGCCTGTACCTTTAGTTTTGCGCAGTGACTAAAATGTTCAGTGAGGTCACAAGTTACAAAATTTTGCCAGCCCTTTTAACCATTACAGTTGATATAACATTTAGGAACCAATAGATGTTCCATCAAATGCAAGGAGGCCCAAAATGGGAGTTCACAAGCCATGAAGGATTTTTTTTTTGGGGGGGGGGTAAAGATTTTGGAAAAAGGGCTATACTTTTTCAGATGTTAGCTGGGTCATTTCAGATCTGAGTTTCACCACTGGGTGATGGTAACAACTACCATCCACGCCCAATAAGGGATATGTTGGGTAGGGATGGGACAGGACTGTTTAAAAGAAAATACCATTTACTCAGAACATCTGTCAGTCAAGGGTAAAAACTCCTAGACTGAAAGTTTCCACCACTTGCAGGACCCCTTCAAGACTCAGATCCCAAATTGCCAAGGGCTACACCAGGAACTTAAACAAAAAATATTTACCCCATGACAGCTAAACCCATGTGACATGCAATCAAGCAAAGTGATGTGAATTGAAAATATACATGAATCCAATAAGAGTTTAATTCCATGGATCACAGAGTCATAACAGGATGGTAAGAGAAGACTGGATCGATGACTGGGGCCTATGCCCAGCCTTCCATAGTTGACATCCAGGTAAATTAACCACTCCATTTGAAGCCATGGCCAAGAGGGAGAGGAGAGATGGAAAAGTAGCCAGAGAGCCACCACATACAGATATGTTGAAAACAGGAAAGGTACGAGTGATGGTGGGCAGTGTTCAGGGGTGGTTTATCTACATATTTCTAGCCTCTTCCTGCTCTGGCTGTCTCCTGGAGATCTTGTTTAGACACTGGCCACAAGGGCCGCCCTCCAGCACAAAGCTTAGGGTGTTATCCGTAGAACCCAGGTGCAGCCAGGGCCACCTTTTGCTCACATGAATCCAGTTAGCACGACAAAAGGCAGTAGGGAAAAAAGGCTTCCAGAGTCTACTGACAAAAGAACCTGGGATCTTATCTCACTCTCTGTCTCTCTGTCTCTCTCTCTCTCCCCTCCTCTCTCCTCTCTCACCTCCCTCGGGAGTTTCATTGGAAAATGGAAAAAGTCCCCCCAGAGTCTTCCAGGTCTCTAACAATCTGCCTTCTGTAGGGACCAGACACAGCTCTCAATTCTTAGGGGTCCTTTCCCGGCACAGTTTATTACACACAAATTTCCAAGTGATTTATTGCAGATTCATGAACAATGGAGGGTGATGTGTTATACACATTTTCTGCAGATGAAAGAGATGGAGAGAGGGGAAGAGGCCATGAGGTTAAGTGGCAAGTGCAAAGCCACCGTGTTGGTGACACCTGGTACTTACAAGAACTTCCCTGAAAACACAGAGTGCTGACTGTGTAGGGTACGATTTTCTGCAATTATCTGTAAGGATTATTTTCAAACAATCATGTTGGGAGCAGGGGGTGGTGAGCTCGGAGCTCCTAAAGGAGAACCATAACATTTATACATCTCCCCATCCCTCCCCCCCCAACACACACACACCCAAAATGCCGACCAGTCTCCTCCCATCTCTCCCCCAGGGCCCAGAAACGTGAAGAGCAGCAGAAAACCCTTCTGTCTGCCCAGTGAGTCAGCCCTGCCTAACTTCATGCGTAAGCTCTCCTCAAGTCAGCGGCAGCTCCGAGCTGCGGGCCTGTGTGCAGCCGAGATAAATTTGGGTCCAGAAGGGATGACGTAATGCTAAACCCGAGAGGTGGCTGCCGCCTCCCCGGGCTCCAGTCGCCAGGACTGCCGGCTGACATCTCCACCACACAGACACCTCCAGGTGACCCAGGTGCCCCAGCTGGGGAGAGAGGGAAAGAAAGGACAAGGGCTGGGGAGAACAGCAGGGGAGGCAGTGTTAATCTGAGATCGCTGAATCTGGAAGTTTGTTGTTTTTTAACTCCAGTTTTTCTGGTGAGATCAGACCATTGGCAAAGGCTCAAACAGCTGCACTTGACCCATCTCTTTCCTCTTAGAAAAGGGCTTCTCACATTTTATTAAATGGCCCTTATTACAGCAGCCTATTTCGGTGATTATAATGGATGCACTACTCTCTTAAATGTCCTTTTCTTTCTTGTTTGCACGGACTTGGATCCAAGAAGAAATCTGCAATGCAGGACTCAATTAACATGCACATCGAAGTGGCTTGCTTACCCCGGAGCTCCCCACTTGGGGGGATCAGGGGTGCAACTGATTAGGTATGTGCAGGGATTTGGCTAAGGCCACAACAAGTGAATGTTCCCCCAAGTAACATTTCATGGTTCCTGTCACAGGAGTTTATATCATTAAGCTTATTTCTCAGTCTCCATTTATTAAGACAACTGAGGCTCAGAGAGGTATAGCAACTTGCTCAAGGCCACACAGCTGTCTCTCAAACTGATGGAGCAAGGGTTAGCACTCAGTCCCGCAGCCCTAGGCACTCATCTGTCTCCATATTTCTTCTGCAGGTGAATTCCAGTTTAAAGAAACAACAGAGGTGGAGCTCCACTTTCTGATAGTTTTCAACCGTAAATATCACGATCAAGGCACATGGCAGAGGGCTCCAAGGCTGTTTTTGTTCCCGGTTCCAGGCTTACTCTTCCCCGAGGATAGGAGATGGAGAAGCAGCTCCCTCTCTGCTGGCGATGGCCATGGCCATTCCCACTCTCCCACTTTAATTAAAAGACCCCACAAATCAACAGCGTGTTGTATTGAAGTAGTTGCCTTCATTGGGAACCCCTTCCAAATACCTTTTTCAAAAGACTCACCACCACATGTCGCTATAGTCACGTATTATTCTCCTCTAATTTGTATCTGTCATCACATATACACGAGATTTCATGATTTTCTGCCATGTTTGGCATCTAACCTGGTCAGCCACAGTATAATATTCTTTTGAAGTCCTGCTCAATTCTGTGGGTTAACATTTTGCCTATGACTTTTGCATCTATAGCAAAAGCACAAGTAAACTATAATATCCTCTGTTGTGGCATTTGTCAGGTTTCTGTATTACAATGTTCTGTTCTTTCAAAGTTAGATGCAACTTGATTTTAAAGCCTGGAGAGGAAAAAAAAAAAATACCGCCAGAGGCCAGCCTTCTGCTGCTTAGAGGATGCCCCACATTCTTGCCACAGCCCTGGGTTACCCTCCTTCCCCCTGCCAGTAGCTGGCCTGGAGAGGCCCTGCCCCCACTCCCTGGCATCACCACTCCCTTCCAGGAGCAGAAACTCGTAGAGGTCACTGGGAGGCCCAGCCAGGCCCTGGACACTAAATCACAAGCCTGCTTCCTGCGTCTGAGTTCTCCGTCCCGGGCAGCATGGATAATCAGATCACCAGGCTCTGCCTGTCCGAAGACACGGGCCATCTCCCCATCTCTCCCACCCTGACGGTAAGACCCTCACATCCTCCAGAGATCCTAGAACAACATGCACCATTTGCCCACTCGCTGCCTCTACAGTCAGTTGATTTAATCCTCAGCACACCTCTGAGATTCCTGGTTGGCAGTCGGGGCCCAGAAAGGGTCAGCGATTTGCCCAAGGATACACAGGCAAGGAACAGATTCAAACCTTGGGTTTCTGACTCTGGGACTCCACAGCATACATCATGTTGCATTCAATCAGATTCAATCAAACAAGGTCGGTTAGGGCAATGGTCTCAACTAAGGGCAATCCCATCGCTCTAAAAGGCTACAGAAATGTGTGGGAGGTGGAGGAGGTGCAGGAGTGAGGCTTTTTGTTATTGTTTTTTGAGTGTCAGCAATGCCTGGGAATCAAGGATGTTAATTCCAGACTAAGCTGAACAAGAACTCCCACCACTTTCTTGATGAGAAATGCAAGAACAGAAAGCTAAAGTCAGAAAACGCATTATTCGTTCAACAACTATTCCTTAAGCATCTACATTGTGTTGCACGCTAAGCTAGACACTGAAGACAGCAGAATGAACAAAACAACATAAGGATCCTGTCCTCAAGGAGCTTACATTCTAGCCCAACAGACTGATGCTAAGCAAGTAAAATAACTAAATTATGGTAAGAAATAGAAGGGATAAATTATAAAATGGGATGGCTTTAGGTCAGTGGGGGAATCAGAGAAGACCACAAAAGTTGCCTAGGATTTTTCAAGCTTTAAGGAGCACACGTAGCTCCAGGGAATTGTCCAAATGCAGATTCTGTCCCAGCAGGTGTAGGGGAGTGTCATTTCTGACAAGCACCCGGGAGATGCCAAGGCTGTCCAGCCTCGGTCTACACGCATTCTAAACAGCAAAGGTAAAGGCCATGGTAAGGAGTTTGGATTTTAAGTGAGGCACAAAAGAAACTATTGAAGGGCTTTAACCTGGTGAGTGATGTGAACCTACTTTTACTTGAGATCTTTCTTGTTTCCTAGATCTCCCACGGGGACAGTTAGAGGTTGGGCCTACATGGCTTGATGGGATGTGGCCAGCCTGCACTGTCCCCACTGCACCAGGGACTGGGGCTTGTCTGCGGCCTGCCCTAGCCTCCTGTCTGGCTTCCCTGGCAGAAGCCCTTGGCCCTAAGCATGGGACAGCCCAGTTGCCCTACAAGCTGGGGCACCTCTGGGAAGCCTCCTCCAGCCTGCCAGGGTGTGGATTCACACCCCTGACACCCCAGAGCACAGAGCCACTGGAGTCCTACTGGTTGGGTGAGTTCCCCAAGGGGTGCTGGGCACATGAAGCAGCAACACCCTAGACCATCACCCTCCGGAGAAAGGGGCCTCTATGGCTTCAGCGCCAGAGCCTAAGAGCCCTGGAAGGTTTTGGCTTCTTGGCTGCCACTTCCTGCCCTAGGATGAGCAGGGACAGAAGGAGTCCCTCCAGGGAGGCATCCTAGGGGAGCCCTCAGTCTACCCTTGACAGTGCAGACTGCATGTCTTGTATCTCAGTAACTTCTTGCTCTCTGAGGGTTCTCCCAGAGTGCTAAGGTCTTGCTCAGAAAAACAAAAGCCTGGGTTTCAGTCCTAATGAGCTCCACTATTTGTTAGCGTGTGGCCTTGGGAGTTAGTCAGGCTTGCTAAGGCTAAGGCGTTCCTCGTCTATAAAATGAAGATAATGATAGCTCCCTATTGGATGTTATAGCCTAGCGGATATTTGTGAGGATTTAATATAAAGCACTTAGCATTGTGCTGGCACATAATAAGTGTTCAGTAAAAATTGGCCATTGTCACCATTCCTGTGGGAAACAGAGAAGACACTGCACTTGCCAGTGGTCCTCTTACAGACAGGGTATCAGGCTCCCAGAAGACAGATGGGAACTGTTTACAAGTTTCTGTTCCTCTCTCACCTGAGCTGGAATGGAGAACGGGAACTGGAGACCTTATAGACTTCATCATGGAAGCTCCAAGCACAGTGCTTGGCTCCTGGCACATTTTAGAACCTATTCGTGGAAGAGAGCTAACTTTCACAGCTGGTAGAAAGAATGAAAGGAGGTTGCATGCAACCCTCAGCGCCCTGGGAGCCGAGAAACGTGGCAGGATGCTGAGGCTGTGGGGAGGGACGGGAGAAGACAAGGGAGGCCACAGAGGAGTTCTGGGCTCTGGACACACGACAAATGAAGACCCCACCAGCTCCCACTTGCCTGCCATGGCGAGAAACAACAGCGCTGGGCCTCCCCTCCACTTTCAGGCAGTAGCCTGTCTACTCCCAGATTGTCTTTATTTGAGTATCCTTGCTAAATAGCAAAGAGATACAGAGTGAAATATGTCAAATAGTGGGTAATCCAAATCCCCTTTTATTGGCTTTAGTTTGAATTTCCCAATCTCCTTCTCCCTCCAGACAGTGTGTTTATCTTTCTAATATTGCTGTGTTTAAATTTCCATTGCAGACACTGCAGTTGGATCCCAGCAGTATGGGGCCGAGGGCATGCTGAGCGGGACAGTGCACTTCGTAGGACGCTGGTGTGTGTGGACAGTCCTCCACGTGCAGAAGGCCACGCCTATAAAGAACTCACAGTGGAATGTGTTTATTTACAAGCCTGCTTGTGAGGTATTTGGTTTCCTAAGCTCAGGCAGTTTTTTTTTTTTAAAGTCAGATCTGTAGAAATCACAAGAAAAACATAAAAATACAAAGGATTTTAAACACTGTGTGTGGGGGGCAGGGAGCAGAAAGGGAAGGAAGTGCTCTTTTTGGAAGCTCAGGACAAATTTGTCTTCTTCTGTCCTCCCAACTAGCAGGTGAAGACACAAAGCCCATGTCGGATGCCATCTCACGCCGCTGGGGTTCACTGTAGACATCTCTAAGACCTGCCGCTGAAACAGGGCGCACAGTCCATGAGGGCGTGTGCTGCACTCCTAGGACCTAGCACAGTGCCCAGTACGGAGCAAGGACGTGCCTCCTTAGCTAACAGTTTAATGAATAAATGAATTAATGAATTCAGGCAGAATGAGTGGCACAAAACATAATTCCACACTTTACCAATGAAGTTGCCACAAGGGCCTTTTCAAGAGCGTTCTCCAGTCTACGTCTTTTAAAAAGGGATTCTGTTTATATGCAGTTCCTGGGGGTTTATTGCTCAAAGCAAGGGTCATCTGAATTTTCAAAATGTTTCACAAGCAAGGGGCCCAGCAGAGCATTCTGCCAAGAGGAGGAAGCACAGGAGCCTCCAGCTCGGGGTGGTGGTGGCAAACGCCCACGGCCTGTGGCCAGAGAGGCCGAGTCCGCTGCGACAGCTTTTACACCTCTAGCCAGCCCACTCGAGGACAACAACATCACAGACAACTGCTTCTCTGAAGTTTAGCAGTAGAGTCAGGGAGCAGGTGTCTGTCCCTGGGGAACTGAAGCCGCTCCCCCTCTCCTCATCCATCTGCAGGGGGAGCCTGGAGCTCCACCCTCCACCCCAACACACACCCAAGACTGGATTCCTTTCCCTTGGTTAGGGCTTGGGGTAGCCATCTCATCACTATCACCACCTTCAGGCTCCTCCACCCACCCCCAAAGTGTAAAGGGAAATATTTTTCTTAAGTATGACAAATTCAAATTAGCTTCATTTTGAAAGACTGCTGAGCGTGTTGCAATGACCTCTGCAATCACTGGACACGCCCTGGGATCAGGAAAGCAGACTTGAGAACTGCTGACTTTATGAGCACCTGACCTGTAAAACAAAAGCCCCGTTTGGGGTTCTGCCTGCGACACAGCCCAGAGAGACCTGGTTGTGCCTCTCCTGTGTCATGTTGGGCAAGCCACTGTCCCTCTCTGGGCCTCAGCCTGCACGTTTAGTGAGGGTGACGGATGCTCCGTGCCCTCTGGGGCTCCTTCTGGCTCATCACCTGCCTCCTTTGATAACCAAACCTAAGTGGAGGAGAAAGAATGGAGGAGAGAGAGAGGAGTTCAGAAGGCCAGACTACCACCAACCTCCCCAGATTCTGGCCTGCTCAAAACTGCTGGCTTCATTCTGCAAGAAGATTCCCATTTCTGGCTGGGTTGTTGCTTTTTTACTTGTCTCCCCCCCACACCACCCCCCCCCTTTTTTAAACTCAAAAGCCACAAAACCACTACTCACCTCCCCAAAATGGGTCATTTGGAAGCCAGAGCTGCCAGGGGTTAGGTGTGTCAGGCCCGACAGACTCGTGGTATCTAAGTGAAGACTATGCCAGGGCAAGCATGTGCTTCTCTTCTAGAAACCCAGTTTAAATCAATATTTATCCAACTGTATTTATAGAAAGTGGCAGTGGGGGGGGGGGGAGAGGTGGGGAGACAGGGGGGATCTAAAACAGAACAAGCCACAATGACTGATGCAAATCTTTGTGGCCAATTCGTTTCTGCAGGGCCAGTCCTTTTTTTTTTTTTTTTTTTAAGAAAAAAAAAAAAGGCAAAAGACCCGGCTTTTGATGAACCTGCTGTTGGCCCCGGTACCATAGCAACAGCCCCAAGTCCTCTAATATGCCCAGAGGACAGACTTGGGAAAGGCAGCAGGAGGGGGTGGTGTTTCCTAGGAGCCTTAAACTTGAGTTAGGGCCAGGAGGGTTGAACAACTCTGAAAAAAAAAAAAAAAAACTCTCTGCTTGACTAGTCTGTCTCCAAACTCAGTTCTAAATTTCTTCTGAGCAAGATGTGTGCAGGAAGACCTCGGACAATCAACACAGGGTTTCAAATACCAGCTGTGCCTCAGGTTGCTGGTGACCTTGAGCAAGTCATGTCACCTCTCTGGACTTCATTCCTGGGCTGTAAAATGAGTACACGTGGATATGGTTGAGATTGCAGACGCGAGTCAGAGACCTAGCCGGGAAGCACCGCTCTGCCACTTAGTAACCATGTGACCTTTGGGGACCCAGCTTCTCAGTCATCCTGTCTGCAGAATGGGAGTAATAAAATGGCTTCCGTCTTGGGATCATTGTGAATACCGGAGGAGATAATGCACGCTGAGCCCTATACTTTGTATACAGTCATGTTCAATAAATGGGAGTCTGTACTGACTTTATGCAATGCGATTGCTTGCTGCTGACTGCTGGCACTCTCTTTATTTCCCCCAGCCCTCCCCAGATGATAATCCCCATTTCTGGGAGTGGCAGTGGGAGAGCGACTGCACCAAGGACAGGGATGGTAAGCAGACACTATTTTGCCTGGAGGTGATACAGCCCCTTTCCTCCCCTGCCCCGCCAGCTTCTCTAGCTTCCTAAAACCTGTCTCCTTCCCCTGGATCCTCTTCACAGAGCGCCCGGTCCCAGGGCATTCTGGGTCTCTGAAAGCCACAATGATAGCCTCAAAGCCTACTGCTGGCATTTACCAGCGAGCAGAGATCATATTTAAAATTGCAAAAAAAGTTGAATGTGGGAAACATAATTTAAGATGCAGAGGAAATAGGAGCCTGACTTAAGAATGTTCTTCACACAGCTCAACTGAAAACAAACATCCACTCCACCCCGCTGTCAATCAGCCCACAACACTTGGGTGGGGGGAGAACAACTGCACATAGGAGACAGTTGAGACATCCTTGCAGAATGGATGAACCCGTCACAGGACAGCTCTCACCACCGAAACGTGACCCACTGGAACCGTCTTCCCTTTTAGCGTAAGTTGCTTCAGTCCCTTACTTTCTAAGCCAGTAGCTTGTCATAGGGTCATAGCAGTAGACAGAATGCAGTTTCAGCTCTCAGAGCCCGACCTACTATCTCCTTGCAGGTCCTGGTATTACCACTCAATAGTAAGACCAACTGCCCTCCAAGCCATCGGAATATTGGCCATGTGTCCCCTGGCTTCCAAATCTCATCACAGTGCCATAGCCAGCAAATTACAAATGTACCCACTTCATATCAAGTGGCTATTGTATGCCAGAAGTATGCTACATGCAAGGATGGCATATGCTGAAATGCTGTACACGATATTCTCCCTTTTGATGCTAATAATCTCCCAGTGAGGATAAAGCTACTGCACAGGAAGCCAGGAGCGACTTGCACGGACTGTTTATCAAAGCTCAGAGAAGTCACTTCTCACTGAGCACCTATTATATTTCAGATACTTTAAATGTTTCAATGCAGTGCTTCATTTAATTATTCAGCAATGATATGAGGGTGGTTCTAAAATTATACCCCTTTTACAGAAAAACCAAAAACAACAACAACAAAAAGGGAACCTCAGAGACGCTAAGTGACTCCTGTCCACAAGACCAATAAGCAGTGAAATAGGAATTTGGGCCCCTGTTCCATGTGACTGCAAAGCCTACATTCTCTCAACTGTTCTGACTTAAGAAATGGAGGCAAGTGGGCTGAAATAGCTAGGGGAAGCTTCGTGGAGGAGGTGGGAGCTGACCTAAGTCTTGAAGGGAGTCGAGTACAGATAACCCCCAGGGAGGAAGAGAATGAGGGCATCTAGACAGAGGGATGATCTGAGTTAAGCACAGAGGCATGACTGTGAGGCTGGCTTGCTGGTGGACCTGCTGGACAGGAGGCAGGTTTCACGGTGGGGCAGAGATTAGGTCAGGGAGGCAGGGTGGGTCCCAGTGACACCACACAACAGCAGCTTCCTCCAGCAAGAGGAAGAGGCTGCTGCTTGGCCTGCCCCAGCCCCTAGGAAAACACCCCGCCCACCAGCCCAGGTAAGCCACTGCAGAGCTGGCTCCTTCCCTGTATCAGGCGCTGCCTCCAAAGCCAGCTTCCCCCTGCGCATGGACAAGGCTGTTTCCGGGCTGCACACCTTTCTCACCACCACAGCTTCTTCCACTCACCTGCCGGCCAGCTAGCATCCCTCAGCGCACCTCCTTTCCCCCTTCAGTTCTTTTTCCAAAACAGGGACTAAGTCTTTCTCCAGTGATTAGTCAGTCTGCATTTACCCTGACCCCCCTCTCCAAGTGCATATAGGTGATACCATCCGAGGGGACTTCTAGTTTCTGGAAATGTGATACCACGCCACAGCCCCATGGCTGATATCTCTCTGGAGGCCTTCGATGTTGCGACATCAGTCAGAATTTCCTAGGGAATCCCAGCTTTGCACACAGCGGGCTGCCAACACCGGGTGGCTTAATATGAACTCCTTCCTCCCTCAAGAAAACTCACCCCATCTACTGGAAATAATTCAGCACTGTGACCACAACTTGGTGAACACTCCCAGTACGGAAACCTCAGCGGGCAGTGAAAAGCCGTTCTGGTTACAATGGAAAATAAGGCAAGCTCCTGCCAAGCCAGCGCTTCGCAAACAGCAGGGCAAACGGAACGTGCGACTGCCTATCGGAGCGTCTCGGGAAGGTTTCACAGGACCCGAAATGGAGCACTGAGGCCCGACACTCGTCTCCGGGGAGAACAGAGTCCCTTTAAGAAGGGACTGGACCAGCTGGCTGCACGACAGCTCCCAGAGATAGCCTGGCTCGCGTCCTGGTCCCACCCCCTAGCCTCCGGCCTCAGCAACGCGTGACGTCAGAGAGAACGGACGCTGCCTATTGGCTGAACGGTGCAGCTAGGTCAAGTCCAGTCGGAGGAAAGAAGTTTGTCTCCATGTGGAAACCATGTGTCTCTAGCTGGGAGGGGGAAGAGGAGGAGGCGGAGAAACTGAGATCAAGCGATTACAGGGGAACTCGCCGAAATGAAGGCGGGGAGGTTGTGCACCTGAGCCGGTCAGCATTGCCCTTTGCAGTAGTGACCTAAAAAATAAAAATAAAAAGACTTGCACAACAAACCCAACCCGAGACCCCCGCCGCCCCCTCATCACACTAATGATGAAGAAGCTAGGGTCCTTGTTTCCTTCCAAAACCCAGAGACCTGGGAAACGCTGGAATCCTATCGGAACGCCCAGCTGCCTCTCCCTCCCCCAACGACCGAATGATGTAAGCGTTTCGGAAAGCGGAGCTCCGGAGCAAAACAAGCCCCGCGCGCGCGGAGCGACCCGCAGTGCCCGAGCCCGGCGCACGCACGACCCGCCCCCCGACTCGCGTTATTGCTGTGCACACGCGGGCCGCCGTGACGCGCGGGCATTGTGTGCAGCGAGCAGAACACAGCGGCGAGCGCCGCCAGCGCCAAGAAGCGCCCCCAGTGAAACCAGACGCAGGGCCCGCCGTTTTCCGTGCGCGAGCCCCAGCCCGAGCTGGGGGCGGGCCGGAGAGTGGGGAGCCCACGCGGCCCTGGTGGGCCGAGCTCCTGTTTGTAGGGGGCAGAACCGGGGGCCGGGCGGATGGTCGCACAGAGTTTGCTGGAGGTCACCCCCGGCTGCGTAAGCTGTTGGGGAGGGGGCGCGGGCCTGGAGCCGGGTCTCCCGTGCTCGAGCTGGCATCGTCGCACCAACCTACGCTCTCCTGGGGGATAACTTGTGGGGCCTGTTGGCTTCAC